ACACTACAAATTGATGCTATCAGTGTCCCCGATAACACATAAAAATGTAAAGAAAACCAATCTCTTTAAGATTATAAATAGTTGCATCAATTGGTGTGACGTGGAGATATATTTAAAAGAATTTTCCCGAAATGAATTGAAAGACGCAAGAGCCTGTATTCTATATTATTCTATTTATTGTCCATAGATAAATCACAAATTCTATTCAAAAACACAATTTTAATATTGGAACATTCAATTGCACGCAAAAGTTTGTGATGGTTATTCCAATTACAAACAAAATCATCTTTAACCATTACATACAGAAGAAAATTCATCCGGAAATGACGCTTGCCATTTAAAGGAGAAATAAAATTGTATCCTTTGAATATTTGAGCTCAATATTCAATTGATATAATTATATTTAAATATATTAAGTAAAAATATTAAATCAATTAATATATTATTAATACCAACTCAGTCCCGGTTGGTTTAATTTATTGTGTATATAAAATTTCGCCTTGAAAATCAAATTAACATTGCTTAATCAAAATTCTGAACACTGACATTTTGGTTCATGACGTAACGTCACGTGGTAGAAAAATAGCCAAAATGTACAAAAGGAAATATCCTAATGGATAACTAGAAAAAGATTTTGGAACATTTCGATGATGACATATTACGAACATATAGTTATTGTATAGAGATTTAACGGTCTAATTTAGGGGCATGCGTCACTTCCTGTTTGGACTATACAGCACACAGATAGGATAGTTCTTCTCCCGCCACCCATAACACACAGAAACCGCTATTTAATATGATAAAGGAACTGAATATGCACTAATTGAATACATACATAAAGCATCACTCTTATAAATTAATTCACATCCAATTGTATATATATAATATAAACCTGAGCCACACAAATATAGTGCATAGAAATGGAAGATATATATACAAATTGTATACATTCAAATTACTGACCTACAAAAGGATAACAAACAAAAATGTAACAAATAAAGACGGCATACAATTTTAATACAAAATGAATATATCATTTGTAAATATAACACAGAAAATCACAGATAAATTAGCACCGTTCATAAAAATATATTGCTATATATATACTGAATTAATGGGTATCGTTTATAAACATCATCTGCAGCATAATATCAATAACTTAAAGAAGTTTTCTTAAAAAAGGTATGTGTATCGGAAAACTGATTGTACCATTGTACCATTCCAATTTTCAGTTAGGTGTCTGTTCCTGTAATTATCACATATTATGAAAAATTAATCCTATGTGTCTTAAAACTATTGATATGATTCGATAGTGACGTCA